GAGTAAATCTTATTTACTTACTTGTTTCTTTTTTATAACAAAAGAAGATTAATTTTCTTTATCAATTGTGATATTTTTTGTCCTGTTATTATTGTCCAATATGGCTATACCAGTGACAGATATTTCCTTTGCAGTTACCTATTATAATTAATATATATTAATAATTAAGTTTTAACTATTTTTAAAACAATAGAAAAACAATATGAAATATCATAGGTGGGTACCTTAACATTTTCAATTTGAGGATTATTAATTTGACAGTTTAAAAGTGGTTCAATACATGATTCCTGAAATAATTATAAAAGAAAATAAACATTCCGTAAAAATTGTTTTAAAAACATTATAATTTCATTTTCATCCAAAAGTACAAATTTTACATGATACATAATTATGTTGAATACAACTTTGAAAAGTTACATAATATATAAATAGTTAAATAAAAGAATAATTAATTAATTACTTGTAATAAAGATACGGCAGTACTGGATGTATTTGGTTCTGGTAAAGTTGTTGCTGCAGTATTAGTGTCAATTGTGTACGTAGGATATATCTGTCTTGGCTAAATTATTAATAAAGCAAAATTAAATTTATCATAAAATGTATGTTTAAATAAAATTTCCCCATCTATTGTTTATACTTATACAGATTTTTTATAAAAATCAAAACAAGGTTTTTCAAAGTGTAAAGAACAAATAACTGCATTCTTCTTCACTTGACTTATTGCATACCACTTAGAGCCAAAATCCAACCAGTTTGTTCGTTGAGTTTCATCATTACGTATCCTTAATAAAACATAATATTTTCTATCAACGTAATCACTAGTCAGCCTTGGTACTTACCAGTGGCACAAATAGGAAAAATGTTTAGAGGGGTGCTCAAGCTTAAGAATTATTTAATTTGGGACTCAATTACAGCTCGTCCCGTCTACCATTTGTACTGCATTTCAGTACCTGTGGCGTTGGAATGCCGTCCCGTTTCTTCAATAATGTATATTTCATGACAATTCTTTTACTAAAAGATTGGGTATAATCTACTCAAAATTTTTATATACATTTACGAAAATCTTGGGTATAATCTACTCAAAATTTTTGTATACATTTACGAAAATCTTATCCACAATTAATTATTGTTGTAGAATCACTAATGTAATTATTATAATAATATTAGCACAATACATATAAATAAATGTCATTCATATTAAGATATTTGAACGGATGGGATCTACATTAATTGACCAATAAAATAATTAAGCTAAATAAATATGATAAACTAAAATGCATAAAATAGAATCCCTATTGTAATTATTATAATAACACCAATATATATATAAATGTTTTTTATTTTTAATTTATAGTTTATACAATCTGTACAACAAAAAGGGCGGGTAAGTGGATGTCGCTCTGCAGTAGAGAAGGTTATAAGATAGTCACTGTAATGGATTGTGTTAAATTTGAATCCAATGATATAATATCACTGTATAAGAAAAACGATTCTGAGCAATGATGGTCAGTCAGTCTATAATATCTTACTAAATGTATTTGATAATATAATTGAGAATAAATAGTATTTAATTTTAGTATTAGGCATAAAGGTATTTACTATAGTTGGTTAAATTCATTTTTCGCAAAAAAATTAAATTTTAAAATGCCATTGTTTGTGTACAAAATATAACAATATACTTTAAACGTTTCATATACCAACAAATAATATTTCTAAATTACAACAAAATAACTAATCTTTGTTCTTGGTTTTAATATGTAATTTCGTCCGAATTTGAAATTAAATTGTCTATAAAAAATAAATGTGTCTATATATTTTTTAGATTTTTTCGTTACAGTATGAATTATTTAAGAGAATCTTTGTTTTAAATTTTCAACTCATAGTTATAAAAACTAAACATTTTATAATTTTTTAATTCCAATGATTGATAATTTTCAAGATTTTGACTCGTACTTTAAATGCTTATAAAAAAAAATTGTGCATATGTATTTTTAACATTTTTCAACTTATATTGTAAAAATATATTAGAAAGCTTGTATTAAAAAATGATTAGGAAACACGAGAAACCCCAAGAACAGGTTATCAGGAGTTTATGACATTTAGTGAATCTAAATAAAGTTCTAATTTAAGTAATGAAGTTATCTATAAAAAATTACATAATAATGGACCTCTTCTTGAACATTTAACTGCCTCTCAATATCAAATTATCATAAAACATAATGTTAAAACAGGTTGCCACAAGTCTGGAAAACCTGGAAAAGTCAGGGAATTGATCTGCATTAAATTACATTTCTGGAATTTTTATCAATTTCCCATTTTAAAAACAACATTTTGTTAGGTACACAATATTTTGCTATCAATTTTCAAAAGTTTCTGTTCAATAATCTTAAGGTATGATTTTCAGTCACGGGCCACGGTTAGATTATATTATGAAGACTGATTTAAATAATATTCTGAAATTACTTTTGAGCAGATTTATTAAAACTGAAATTATGGTTGGTGATATTTCAAAACTCAATATAATGGACAAAGACAATTCTATTGGTGCTAAAAAAATTAATTTAGGATATATGACTCGTCAAGCGCTCAGATTAATCACTGCTACTGATAAAGAAATACTACTATTTAGAGTATATTGCTTAGTTATTCTTCAAACTATATGTTTAAAGCTTATGCTTAAGTTATTTATAATTTTTCTTATTTTAATGACCGATCAATAGAAATATATTTTTAATTATGTAATTTATTCGATTAGGTCACCGTTAAAATATAAATTGGTAAAAGGAATAAGCTTCTGTGACTCCCAAATCATAACTGCATCAATAAACATGGCCAATAATCGTTTGAAAATTACATTATCAATTTTTGTAGAAAATAACTGGTTGACAAGGTATTTAGCTGATCGAATTGAAAGCGAAATTACTGTGCTGTTTTCTAATTCATCATTTTTTGAAAGAGTTAAGGCTTATGTTAAAGGAGAAATTAGATTGGACCATTTTTGGTCAAATAATGGAGTCAAGTATGATTTATCTTCGGAACTTCTACGTTTTTTAAAAATGGTAAGAAGTTTCAAGAATCAACATTTGTGTATTTAAATCTGAATAGTCTAATGGCAATGTTAGTGTTGAGCGTGGCTTCTCTGCAAACAAAGACTGTCTCATTGAACATTTACATGAAGAATCACTTATCGCTCAGAGACATACGTGGGCAGCAATACAAAAGTATGGAGGGGTTGAAAAAGTTAATATTACAAAAAGAATGATTATGGATGTCAGAAATTCAAGATCATATTACAAGAAAGTTTTAGAAAATAAAAAACGAAAACAAAATGAAGCAAAAAAAGCAAATGAAAAAAGAAAGAAAGCTGGGGCTCTGTTGAAAGAACTTAACTAGAAAAAGATTCGTTTATTAGAAGACACTCAAAGTCAATTAAATATGTTAGAGGAAGAAATCCAATCACTAAGAAAATAGTATTTATATAATATATATTATAACTTGTTTCAAGTTATGTTTGATTATTATTATCTAAATTATTTTAATTAATTATTAAAGTTGTTGAGTTTGTTATAACATTTATTAACTAATTAACAAAAGAGATGCAATACATATTAAAAACGGTTTTAAACTAAAACTTATACTTAATAGTTATGTACTTGTGTGTTATATTTTACCAATGTATATTTTTATACCTAATGTGAAGTGCTGTATATGTTTGATCACAAAACACATAATTTAACCTATTAAGTACTTAATTTATGTATTGGGGTAAGATTTAAAAATGCTACTCTTACTATTATTGCAAATTTGAAAGTTGCTACTTATTAACAAATTTATAATGTCAAAAAAAATATTATATGTTGTGAAGTATTAAAAAAATATTTTGGGCATATTCTAATGAACTGATTTGAGATATTTTTTGTCTAGGCAGTGAAAGTTAATTTATATAAACTTGATTAATCCTGGAAAATGTAAAATAATGCCTGGAAAACCTGGAAAAGTCAGGGAATTTTTTAATTGAGGATCTGTGGCAAGTCTGTAAAATCAACACTAAATCTATCGGTGATAATTACATAGGATTTGAAGATGATAAAAAATTATTAATTTTTAAAGTTTTTAATACATGTCACAATTCAATTCGGTTAATGGTAGAAATGTATTTTTAGTAAGACAGTTTAAGCATGTTGAATATTATTTTTTAAAACCTATCAACAGCTTAAAATTGGGTATAGATTATATTAATAACTTATCTGAAGAATTCACCACTGTAGATATAGATCTCACAAACTTTTTAAAATATATTGTTTTATGTGATAGTGATAATAAAAATATTGCATTTCTTATTCTTCACTCTAATGATACTTTAAATGTTGCATTTATTATTTTTAGTTTAATAATATTGACTTATAACTATAATATTATTAATATGAAACTATTTAAATAAGTATACTATTTATATATGTATTATTTAACTATTTCAAATACCGTAAAATGGGGTGACTTCGGACATGCGGGGTGACTCCGGACAAAACCATATTTTTGTAGTTTTCTTATCATTTTGGATTACAAGTTTGATAAAAGTTGAAAACTGATACTCCACGTTCATATCTATTATTACCTCCATAGAAAATAATATTTATTAATAACATAATATTATCATACCATATAATATAGAGGTAAATACAAGATGATCTATTTTTAGATTTAAAAATTATCGAACTGATAACATCTGTAGAACAACAACAAATAAACATATTTGATTGCGGTTTTCGGCAATCGGCTCGCAAAATTATCAGCTATAATTTACGTGTGTTAAAATAGTTTATTTATTTATTCATACACTGTAGTGCTACATTCTTTAAATTTTTTCAAAACGCGGGGTGACTCCGGACAGGAAAATTACGATGCCCAGATCATACAAAAAAACGGTAGGTGGCCGTTCTTATCAGAATTACGATCATAATATACTTAAAAATGCAGTTAATGCCGTTCGTTACAAAAAAATGTCAATTCGACGTGCTTCTGAAGCGTTCGGAATACCAAAAAGTACATTATGTGACCATTTAAATACAAAAACAATTATAAGAAAGCCTGGTGGACAAACCATTTTAAGCACCGACGAGGAAAGTCGACTTGTAGAAGGGTTACTGAAATGTTCTGAGTGGGGCTTCCCCATGAAGTGCCGTGACATTCAGTTAGTTGTTAAATCGTATTTAGACAGATTGGGTAAAAGTTCAAATAATTGTAATAAATTCAATAATAATTTGCCTGGAAAAGATTGGGTTGAATTATTTTTGAAAAGAAATAAAACTCTCACACTACGATTTGGTGAAAATATTAAGCGTGTGAGAGCAGCTGTATCGACATCTGTTTTAAATGAATATTTTGATAACCTGAATGAAGTTTTAAAATATGTCCCTCCAGATAATATTTTCAATTATGACGAGACAAATTTTGTCGATGACCCAGGTAAAAAACTTGTTGTGGTAAGACGAGGTACCAAGCACCCAGAAGTTATAAAAGATACCTCCAAAACAAGTGTATCAGTTATGTTTTGTGTGTCGGCTGACGGAAAAATGCTACCACCCTACACAGTTTATAAGGCTAAACATATTTATCCAACGTGGATTGAAGGTGGTGTAGAAGGAGCAGGCTATAATCGGAACGATAGTGGGTGGTTTGATATGCCCATATTTGAGGATTGGTTTGTAACATGTTTTTTACCGGCTTGTCGTAATTTGGACGGACCTAAGGTTATAATTGGTGATAATTTAGCGAGTCATTTATCATTAGAAGTAATTCAACTTTGTGAAAAAAATAACATTCATTTTGTATTACTTCCCCCAAATGCAACACACTTGTGTCAACCACTCGACGTCGCTGTTTTTAGACCGATTAAAAGATGTTGGCGAAATACTTTAGATACTTGGAAAGTCAAAAACTCAGGAACAATACCTAAATCCGAATTTCCCAAACTACTTCGAAATACTTTAGAATCATTAAGTGAAACTATGCAAAACAATATTAAGTCAGGATTTAGTGCAACAGGTATCTACCCGTTCAATAAGCAAAAAGTTTTAAATAAAGTTCCGAGTCGATCTGAAAATAACGATGATGATTTATCGTCAAGGTCATGGACTGAAAAATTTGTTGATATTTTGTCCGATGTAAGAAATAAAAAAGGTACAGTAAAAAAATGTAGAGGAAAAAAAATCAATGTATCTGCAGGAAAAAGTGTAAGAATAGATGATATTAAAAAAAAAGACGAACTACATGATATTGATGACCTAGATGACCCCGACAGAGTTCGGGAAGAAAATTCAATTGATATTTATGCACCTTCTACCAGTGGGACACAAGGCAACGATTTCTCAAAAATAATTAACGAAGAAGATTGCATTGATCCAAATATTGTGATAAAAAAGGGTGATTTTATTATTGTTAAATATGAAACAAATAAACGAAATATTATGTATATTGGACAAGTGGAAATGGAAAAATCTCCATTGATATACGTGAATTTTTTGAGACAAAAAACAAGTGCACTAGAAGGGTCATATTTCGTTTTTCCACAAGTCAAAGATAAGAGTAATATCACAAAACTGCAAGTAGTACGAAAATTAGTGCCCACTAAAATAATGAAACGAGGACGTTTTATTTTTGACAATATTGATACAACTAATTTTCATTAAAAAAATAAAATAAATTTATAATTTACATACCTACCTAATATAACATTTGTTGATATTTTTATAAAAGTAAAAAATTTTTTTTTGTGAAGTTTTTCAAAATATTGAATAAAATACGTAGTATTTATGATAAAGTTATGTTTTTTTTTTTGTTTAATTCGTTACGTTTTTTTTAAAAATATCTATACTGTCCGAAGTCAACCATTGTAATTCTAACATCGGTTTTTAATGAAATTTAATACGTGTCCGAAGTCACCCCATTTTGCGGGTGACTCCGGACAGTGTTCAACTTTTAAAAAAAGTGTGAACTTTAAAGACTTTTATGATTATTCTTCTGCTATATGATTTCAACATACCTAAAGAATATTGCATATTTTTTTCATAATTTTAGAAACAATATATTGAGGTTAATTTTTGAAAAAAGGTTCAAATCTGTCCGGAGTCACCCCATTTTACGGTACCTATGTAATATGCAGGCCCGGATTCCAATGATCCTGACCCGGGCAACACCCGGTAGGCCGTTAAAAATTCGAAAGATTTGGGGCGTTTTGATGATATTTTGAATTAGGAGAAATATCTTATCCATAGTTTATTTTACATCAAAAGACAAACATGTGATTCTAAAATGTAAATATGTAATCTATGATAAAAATTGTTATCTTGATATAATGACAGCTATAAGCTAATAAAAAAACATTGGTTAGAGTAATCAGTATGGTCACCACGGCTTTAAATAGAAATAATATCTAGAGCCGTGATGGTCACTGTTATAGTTGTTTTATTTATCGTAATCTTTTGACTACGACCATCGATATATATATATAGTATATACATCTCGATAACTACAACTGTCAAAGTGACAAATAACAATATTATAATCAATAGTATAATCAGTTTTGTAAATTTTCCATTTTACAGTTATCGTTCTCGTGGTTTCAGCAGTATTGCCATTAGTATTTCAGGAATACGACGAATACGTTATTACTGTTACTGCTGCAATTTTAAGTTTTTATTGTTTTTAATTTTTTAATACATAATTTAAATTTGTTCTACAATGTCATTCCCTATTCCTACTAAAAAAACGTCCAGGTGGTGCTGAAAAAGGGTGTATTCCCAGTTCGCCGACACCCAATTCGCCGACACCCAGTTCGCCGACACCCAATTCGCCGACACCCAGTTTGCCGACACTCAATAGTTACAGTTTAGTTATAAAAAATATATAAATAATATAAAAAAATATAAAATAGTAAATTTATTACAGAATAAAAAATTTAAAAAAAATTAAATGGTAATATTACATTAGGTAGTCATTAGGTATCATATTATAGTAAAAATTATAAATAAAAAATAGTTATAAGAAAAAAAAAGTTATAAGCGGATATGATATTTTATGGTATCAATATATTCCATTAGAGAAATTTCATTTTCTTTTAACCTGAAATAGTGAAATATGATTATTTAAAATATAACATTGTTTTTAAAAGTCATAAAAGTATGTTCACCCGGTGTGTGTATATGATAGAAAAAAAAATATTACGTACTTTTCTTTAACATTTTTCAACTGTTCCTCGAGCTTACGAAATTTCAAACTTGGTTTAGGTTTGGGATTTCCCCTACTTTGCGATGAAATATCCAATTCAAAGTTCTGCTGTTGGTTTTTGATCTCGTTTATAAGTATATAAATATTGGGTCTGTGACGGTTAACAGCTCGATTTAAAGCTGCGTGCCATCCTTCCAAATGATTAATTGTTCGACTGCCTTCTGTTTCAAAATGATTCCACATTTTTCGGTGAAAGTGGCATACGTCATAATTTAAATAAGTATCAACAAAGTAATCCATGAGTTTTGTTAGATCTTTATAATCATATTTAATAATTAGTCTATTTTAATATTTTTATGTATTCAATATTCATTAATATTTTTTTCTTACTTTCATTATTTGGAGCTTGTGCGTGAATTGTGGTCCAACACTCGTCAATTGTATCTATAGGGACTAATGCTAATGCGCATATTCTACGGACAGTTAGTTTAACCTCGGCATTGTTTTTATATTCCTCAGATAGTCCTACGTTCTGTACCTTGCGCCATATAGATTGTCCAAAATGAAACAAACAGCCTTTTATTTTAGTTTGGTGCCCAAATAACTCCTTAATTGCCATAATCATTCCAATTTCAAAGTCAATTTGAAAACATTTAGGATTAAATATTAAATCAATTCTAATTGCGGCTTCTTTAATTAGATTAAACATTCGGTTGTACGTTGCGGAAGTCTTATTTGGTAAAAGTGCATACGCCTAAATAAGAAGGTTAAATATAATGTTTGTTAGCTATTGACTTAAAGTTTAAATATAATTACCATTGGTACCAAAATTCCTTGCACAAAACAATGTAACGTGTAAATTTGAAGAAATAACTTCGGAGCTGATTTAAAAGTACCGTCCATAAAAACAACTTCAGCTGTGCAGAGTCTTCTTAAGAAGCCTTCGGTACCGAATATAACTATTTTGTCATCATCTCCGTCTGATCCTAAGAATAATATTATAACACGTATATTATTTATTTATTATGTATATTATACTATTATACATAATTAATTATATCTTTATACCTAATAAAAAATCTCTTCCGTCATTAGTACAAAGCCATTCGCCATTAATTATTAAATCACGTAATTTGTTAGGTAATTTAGGAATAAGTTTCATTTTTTTACGGTATGATGAACTTCGAACACTATTTAATGTAGGGATAGAACTATATACTTCGTTTTGTGATGACCCTTGTAATCCTGAAGTTATAACAGATCTTCTCACTTCGTTAAAAGCTTGAGGAACTGGTTTTGTTGGATTAAGTGTAACAACATCCTATAACAAAAATATTCTTAGTTTTTAATTTTGTGAAACACTTCGAAAAATGTATTGTTAAGTCCAGGGTTTGAAATGTACTACAAGTAATTGCTTATAAAAATATGAATATTATTCATATGATAATATTTAATATAATTATTTACCTTTAATTTATTTCGGAAACCTCGTTCTGCCAATTCAAAACCATGTGTTCCGTGATTATGTGGCTTAGACGTAACTACTATGTTTGAATGTTTAACTATTGCACGACCGCCGCAATTATCCACACATTTATAATATTCGTTGTCTCCACGTTTTCGGTCTATTCTGTGAATATAATTGTTCACTACAAGTAAGTCCTGATTTTTTTCTGACTTAATTTTAAACCATTCCATAACGACGGAAAAATTAAAATAATATATATATATATATATATATATATAAAGAATAATTTTTTTTGCAGTACCTAACGCAATGAAATATAATCGCAAACTAAAATCTTAATCATTATTTGAAAACCACGCAGTGGACTTATATTATTATTATATATATATATATATTTATAATATATTGATGGATGTCAAAATTATCATGTGATAGATAACTATAATACTATCTTATACTCACCATCAAATAAGTTTACAGATATAATAACGTGCGATAGTCGAAAGGTACCTTATACACACGATAAAATAAATTTACAGCTTATGATAGTATTATAGTTTTATTGCAATACCGCCGTAGCATGTCGCCAATATCATTTGTTGTCGGCGAATTGGGCTATTTTTAAAAAATATTAAAAACTGGTTTTTTGATCAAAAAACCGGGTGTCGGCGAATTGGGTGTCGGCGAACTGGGCACAAACCCTGAAAAAGCACGTGATAAAAAAAAGAAACTGCTGCTTGAAAATGCGAAAATGTATGGTGACGTTCATGATATGTTTTCAAAAGCAATGGTATGAATTTACATTTATTTTAATAATTTCAGTTTTATATTTTTCATTCGTTAAATTTAATGTGAAATAATTCATTCTTAATTATTATTTTAGACCAAAGTTACTAATACTCCGAATATTCCGATACAGCAAAATATACAAATACAAGAAGAAGAAAAAGAAAAAGAAAAAGAGATATTGATTGAAAACACTTTATCAGAGGTATTGATTAAAAATTAATGTTTTTGTGTTATAGTTGGATATAATGTTGCTTTTTGTTATTTAATTTGTTTAATTGAAGGATGATGTTTATCCATGTTATAAATTAACAAATGAACATTTTTTATTTGTTAGATTAAAACAATGTAAATAAATCTTAAAATCTATAATATGTACTAAATTTCAGTTTCAAAGTAATTATTAAAATATTAGCTTTTACTTCAGTTATAAAAATTATTATTAAATTTAATAGTACAAATATTTCTATAAATGTTAGGTGTAAATAAGTTCCTAAATTATTAATTAAATAAATCTATAAATCTTTATGACAATTGTAAATTAATATAAACAATATTTAACCATTTTTCATTCACTTTATTTTATTTATATATACAAGTATTTATATTTATATTTTGTGTTTGTGTCATTTATATGCCTGTATGCCTGTATTATATGTCAATAAAATGTAACTTTATGTTTTCCTGTCTTTTTTATCAATAATATTTAAGTGCAATATCTAGTGATTCTTAATTATTATATTTTTGTGTTGCTTTTGTATTAAACTCAATGTCTGTGTACTGTGTTATGAGTTACTGTATTTTAAATTTGTGTGAGTCAGATATATTAATGTATGAAATTTAATTCTTTTAGATATTTTTATTTAACAGTCAATCCAAATTTTCAATATGATTATTTTACAATGACATGTATATTATATAAATTTTAAATTATCATCATAAATAAGAATGAAAAATATTTTTGAAATTATTTTTTATTTTGAATCATAATTTGTTTGAAACTTAAGAATAAAAAGGTAAAATTACAATACATGTTTATAGTGGTATTCTATAGAATTTTTTATATTAGGTAGTTTGTGTTTATTTAAAATAAAATTCTAACCTTAATAGTTCATACATTGTATTTTGTTTAAATTGATATAGTTATATTTATATAATTTCTATATTAATATTTTAATTTTAACTATGCAGGACTCTAATAGTGTCGAAGTTGCTAACAAGTTTAGACACACTACAACAAACAAAAGTTTAAGTAATGATGCCGATCACTCTATTTCCTATTAACATTCAGATAATCCAGAAGTAGTTGAACAAAATTCGATGGTCATCACTAGTTTCAAAAAACCAAATACCTTTGAATTAAAAATGTTTTTCAAAACTTACCCAGTTCAACCTTTTAATAATGTAATTGTAATTACTCAGGGGTCGATGCAATATTAGCAACCGACACCTTTCGTATTAATAAAATAATAACTAGTGGACTGTAAAAAAATATGTGTATATAACAATTAACAAACCACAAAATGTTTTGTATTAACACTCGGAACAATATAAATTATAAATTTTAATAAATTACTATAAGTGATCTTGTCGTCCCGTGCGACGAACAAGTACATTTATAAAGAACCACAAAAAAACGTTACTACAACAAAAAAAAACTACGCATATAAAAACCAATACAATGACGAAGACAAAAAAACAAGACATATCACACGACACACGCGATACGATAAAACCTAATCACAAGTAATTCACAACATAAACTAATCGTAACAGTATAATTAAATAATAATAACAATGATAAATAATTAAGCAATCAGCTGATATGCAAAATCGCGGACCTATACAATTACACATAATAAAAATAATAATAATAAACAAAAGGTAGATTGCCGCACATAATTGCCGCGACAGTAGTTTTTACCCATTACTTACATACTACCGAGTTAAAGATAATAACAACTATAAGCGTGAATGGTTAACTTATGAACATAGTAGAAAATTATTTTACTGTACTTTTTGTTTAGCTTTTTCAAAAAATTCTAACCGTTTTACTATTGGTTGTCAGTCAAATCCTCGACATTTATATCAGCGTCTTTGTGAACATGAAAAATCAGTTGATCAAAGTCAATGTATAGATTCATATTTACTATATTCAAAACAAAAAGATCTCTATAATATGTTTACAAAGGAAAAGCAAGCTGAGAAGTGTAAGAGAAGAGCTGTCTTAGATCGCATTATTGAAACAATAAAAATGATTGGTAAGAGAGGATTAAGTTAATCGTGGTGCTAAAAACGCTGTGGCAGCTTATACTTTCAACGATGCCACAATAGATCATGGAAATTTCTTAGAAGTTCTAATATTGGTATCAAAATTTGATCCTCTTTTAAAAGATCAAATAAATAATGCTG